CCGGGAAACCCAGGCTGAGCGGCCGTGCCTCTGGCCAGCGACTGAAGGGGCTCCTTCTTTCTTTCTTTCCCTTCCTTCCTTCCTTCCTTCCTCCGGCAGGCCGAGCAGGCGGGGGCCTTTGAGCTCCAGGTCCATTCCTTCACCACGAGCAGCAGCCCTCGGAGCCTGTGCCCCCCCCGCGGGGCTCCCCCCTGCCGCCTCTTCTTCCGGGTCTGCCTGAAGCACGCCCAGGCCGTGGTGTCCCCGGAGCCGCCCTGCACCTTTGGAGCCGCCCTGAGCGACGTGGTCCTCGCTGATCATCGCCGTGCTGTGGCCACCAGCCGGCCCATCCGGGTCCCCTTCCACTTCAAGTGGCCGGTGAGATCCTTCCCAAGCTTGGGCCCCCGCGGGGCCGCTTGAGCATCGAACCCCCCCCCCCAAGTGGCTCTGAAGCCTCTCTCCCTTTGGCGCTTCTTTGGGTCGCTTCTCTCACCCCTGTCCTCACGGCTTCCTTGCGGTTTCCGGGCGCAATGGGTGCTGCTTTCTAAGCTTAAGCCTATGCCTAGAAGAAAGAAATTGGGGGGGGGGACGTCTGGCAGAGAGAGGGGCCCACTTGTTGGGTGACTCGGTCTACCTGCCGGCCTTTTTTTACTCTGCTCTCCCTCCAGGCTTGGTGCCCCCTTGAGCCCTTATCAGAAGAAGAAAACAGCCCAGAGCTCAGCCAGATGTTTCTGGGGAGCTTCCCGAGCAGCAGGTCCCCCAAAGGTGGCCTCCTCTGAACCCCACGGAGTGGCTTAGGCCTAGGAAGAGTTTCCAGCCATAGCCTCCTTGCTCCACACAGACAGGCAGCAGGTTGTTGCAGGGGCTGTGTGCCCAGCTGAGGCACTGGAGCCCTTTGTGGGCGGAAGGAGTGGCCGGGGTGATGGGTGCATCCCGCTCAGCGTGCACAGGATTGGTTCCATAAGCCTGGATTCCTGTCTCTCTTTTCCCTTCCCACCCCCACCCCATGCCATGCTGCCAACAGCCTTCCTCAGAGCCAAGAAGGGTTTCCCAAAATCCCTTGGGGATCATGGCACCACGGAGAGGGAGAGGAGGGGGCACAGAAGCCAATGTGGGGAAATTGGAGGGTATTTTCCAAATCTAGCAGGGCAGGGCAGGGCAGCTTTCAGTTCTCATTAGGGATAGTGGCCCTAAGAGAGAGGTGATATGCCACGGTTTTATTAAAAGAAAGACCAGCTTGTTTGATTTGGTCAAGCAGAAGGAAATAATGTGTTGTGACAAACTCAAGCCACAAAGGGAGATGGGGTGTGTGAATACATTGAGTTGTCCTCCAGAGGTAGATACATGACAATGCTTGCAGTTATATAAAGTAACTTATCCCCTGGATAAGTTAACTTCAGTAACTTATCCCCTGGATCCTCTTCACATTAATTTTTATTTTATTTTTCCTCCTCTTGTATATTAATTTTAGATCAAGATAAGGGAATCACCATACTGACTGTCTTGTTATCTGGGATCTTTTGTGACAGCTTCCCTTTTTGTAAAGCCGAGAGTAATTGCTCAGGACTTGTTCTCTAATTTTCCAATTCAGAGATATGGGTTCTGGCCTCTCATTGAATAGTAATTGGCTTTATAGCCATCACACACACACACACACACCAAACACACACACAAACACACACACACACACACATTATGCCTGCTGGGCAGAGTACGATTATCAAGTGTCTTTTAAAAAAATAAACTTGTAGCTTGCAGCCACTCTTACACAACTGTTAGTGTTTTGGGGGTTTTTAATCCTAGGTTTTATTATTGTTGTCCTTTTATGATTCTGTAATTCATATTCAAACTGCCAACATTTTACCTCAGAATTGTCAAAGTTTCAAAGTTCAGAGTTTCCTTTTCAAAAGGAAAGCCTAATGATAATTCAAAGACCCCCAGAATCCTCTGCTGGATTTAACATTCCTGTCTGTTAATTAGGCCATTTAAAAAAGGTTAAGTCTTGATTCAAGAATGGCCCAAAGTGAGGGTAGCAAAGTAACCGTCTGTCAGGGGCCCTCCCCTCCCCCCCCACTGGGAGAGGCAACCAGGGGCCGTGGGGGGGCTGAGGGGGGGGATATCTCTCCCCTCCCCGAGCTGTGTGGCAAAAGGCTTGGATGGTGGCTCAGGGGTGGTTGTGGCCGCCTGCCTCTCACGCCCCGTGGGAACGGTGGGGATTCCCACTCACCAACCCCTGCCACGGAAAGGCAGGGGAGCCGTGGCCCTCCTGGGCACGTGGCCGCCCAAGCGCAGGCCTCTGCCTTTTCCTCAGCTGCATTGAGGTTGCTG